TCCCATTGTAACCTAAAGAATCTTTAAAGCTCTAAAGAATCTTTCCACAGCAGGTCAGCTGAACATGCATAAATGCAAAATGTGTTTTTCTGCATAGCTGTAAATTACAGGCAAGCACACGATCCAATCTGTTGAATAAAGTGTCCGATAATTAGTGTTCACTTGGGTCTAAATTTTTCGAGCCATTAGGATTTAAGCTGCTCGCTCAAGGACATTTCCTCAAAACACAAACAAAAGACTTGTTACTATGCCTACTGAATCAGAACATTGTCTCTATTTCCCCACTAATTAGCACCAAATTACACAGTTTCTTTCCAGAAATGTCCTAGGAAATTAAAAAAAATGGTAGAACCTGCAAAACAAAGTCTCGTGTAATAACTAAACCTTTCTAAATAATGAAGCTTTATATTTGTGCTCTGTTTGTCAAGACTTACACCTTCAGTAGGGGCCAGAAAGTATGTAGGAATGAAGTAACACCTAATTAGATTGGGTCTTTTAATGAGATTAACAACAAAACATCAATATGTCATCATCCATTGTTTATGATAACTTGGTATGACATCACTTGCTAGATGCATGGTAGCCTTCGCCACAACCTGGTGGCTCTTGGTGCTTGTGTTGTGCCCATGAATCCCATTATTTCCTTCATAGTCAGTTACTACTGTGTTTTGTTTGTACTAGGAGAATGGCGGCCCTCTTTCTGAGTGGGTAGCGTCCTGTGTTGTCATAAAACAAGATTTAATTGAACCCAGTGTCTGACAGTGACAACATCAAAACATACACACATTTTTAAACACACTTTGCGCCTCACTTTGGGGAACAAGAAGCAAGCATGGGGTGGGAAAATAGAAAAAGAGAAAGATGAACCCGTGATCTATAAATGTTTAACGAGTGCAGACAGAGGAGATGAGGGCTGTGTTGAGGAGGAGGAGGAGGAGAAGGGAGACAGAAAGAAAAATGGTGAGGTGAAAAAGGAAGACAGTATCAGAAAGGATGGGTGAGGAGCAAAATGGTGGGCTTGTAGAGGGAGAGAGGTCCCATTATAGAAGCAGACACCAGAGCAGGGTTAGAAAATAGCAGAGGAAGGGAGAGAGCCAGAGATTGAGAAAAAAAGGGCTGTAATTGGAGGTGTCTGGTGTTTGTCTAACACAGAGAGGCTAGTAATGATTCCATTAGCGCCTCACACCGCGAGAGAGAGACAGGGACGCAGAGAGGGAGACGGAGAGAGAATGAGAGCCAGAGGGAGAGAACGAGTGTGACACGGAAACAAAAAGAGAAGAGGCCAGAACACTACGAGAAGATTCACACAGAACATTAGAACAAGAAAACAATGAGGGCACTAAATGGCGGAAAAAAAGGAGAAAACACACAAAAAGAACAAGAGAAAAGGGAATTCAAGGCGTCCATTAAAAGCCTTGTTCACCTGCACGATGGTGATAATTACAAATGCCCCTCCAGTCCTTTCCCCAGCTCTCTTCCCCACCTCACCCCTTCCTCTCTTTGTGTGACAGCAAACGAGAGAGGGTGATTTAAATGCATTAGCCGAGTGTGTTTTCCCTATGGAAGACCTACACACTGTGTCGGGGCAGAAACCTTTTGTTTGGAGCCGACGCCGAGCGCTGAGAGGACTCTTTAAAAGCCTGGCCCTTGTTCTCTCAGGGACACATTAAAGCTCAACGCACCGGGTTGTTGTACTTCTCTGTGTCCTCCCATGTCTTTGTTAAAAGCAGGCTGATTACAGATGCAGTTACATTAGGTAGCTAAGTGAAATTTTGACAAGGGAAGGGAATAATATCAGAAAAGAGGCACGTGCGGGCGAAATAGCACTGGCACCAATGTCACTTTGACAAAAGAAAGCCGGTTTCCAGGGTGTTCATTTGGCATTATCTCACAGGCTGCATACAAATATGAGATATGTCAGACTGACATACGTGGGACAGCAAATTCTCCAGCTGTATGAGGAGGGAATTTCATTGCTATGCAAATCCTTCCCAAGATCCCACAAAAATGTTTTTCCTAATACTGAGTAGGTGGCGCAGACAACCCTGCGGCACAGAGATTTCAATTCACCACAAAGGAATTAAAATCTATTGGAAAATGCTATGTGATTGTTTCCAGAATAATTGCTGTGCCACAAAAATATGCCCTGAAATGAACAAAAACTTGGCTCTCCCTCTTGTGTTGCCGACACCTGTTCTGCCTCCACACACACACACACACACACACACACACACACACACACATGCATCCACATCTGTAGTGACCATAACTTATTAGACAAGGGACCCATATATTTCCTGACCTCTGATCTCAGCCTGTCACAAGGACTCATTACATCAATGCACGACTACAGCACACATGCTGTTATTGAGTTAAAGCTAGCTTGTTAATCGTGCTTACCTTGCTGTATTTACTCTCTCCGGAGTGATAAGACTCAGGGAGCAGGCTGATGAGGTCATGGAGATCAATCAGGTCAACAGCTTTGCTGCGTCAGACTGACTTTGAATAAAGTTTGATACACAGGATGTGACACAGGCCCAATCCCATTTCATATTTTTACCCCTACCCCTTGTTTTTGACTGAGCCTTTTGTTGTTGTTTCACACTATCAATCGATCAAATACTGTCAGTCATCAAATAAAAAAGAAGAGTGCTTCATTACCAGGCCACTAGTGGTGCTCTGGAAGCTAATATTACCAACCCTGCCAGGCTGCACTGGTATTAGAGGAGCAGTAACTAGTGCAGCAACTTTGCTGCTGGACTCTGATTAAATCTTGGGTGTCATATGCCATCAAATAGGAGGAATGTGACATGGAAATATCTCCAAATATGGGAATGCCAAGCACAAATCAGCAATAACAACAAAATGTTAGCTAAGTAGTGAGTTATTTTGTTACGCTTGTTATTGAGAAAAGGAACATAATACACTGAAACGACATCAAACTAAGACAGTGGTTCTCAGACTTTTTGTGCCCAAGGCACACCAAAGGGCAAGCCAAAATCTCAAGGCTCGCCTGTATTTATATCTGTGCACCATAGCTTCTAGGAAAAAATAAGACAGGTAGCTTTCGTGATACTGTCTACTGTCTTTTTTTTTCAGTGGTACGTCATCTTTACTGGTGCTTTGTTGTAGTTTGCTCCCTACAATAAAATGATCCATTGTCCCACTCACAGCTTTCTCCTTTTAATTGTTACCATCTCTCACACTTGCTGCCCATCAGGGCTTTTAATATGTCACACACTTATAATTCCCATGCGCGAACGGCAACAAATAGGTGACCCGTGAAGATTTTTTAAATAAAATTAAATTAAATCACATTTTTAGAGTTTGCCTCTTTATTAGGAAATGGTTGCGCACAACATACTGATACAGTCAATTAAAAATTCATTTATAACTTATTGTACAGGCCCAGTTAAATATTGCAATAATATTGTGTGGTTATCCCAAAATCCCCTGGCACACCTGGATTGGCATCACGGCACACCATCTGATAATAATCTAATCTCGATTCATGGGTTTCTTTTGTTACTAGTGTAGCCATATTGCAGATGATATTCGTAACATTTGGTTTGAAGTTCGCCTCTAAAAAAAACCCCTAATTTGGAGGACCATGTAGCGCCCCAATACTTTGCCCTACCCCTCTATCCCAACAAGAATTTGGACACCCTACCTCTAGAAGTAAATGCACAATCAAAGGGGTAAGAGCTAAGTTGTGAGGGAAAAGGTTGTATTGGGATTGGGCCATAGACCTAAACGCTGCAGGTAGTGAAATCATCTGAAAACCTGTCAGTGAGATCACCTGTCAGATAACCAATGCATGTCTTTTTTTGCAAGACAGACATGCGGCTCAACAGTCGGCCTTTCATGATTGAGATGCAGCCAGAGTTCTGCCACAATCTGTGCACATTACCAGTATGCATGCTGCAGAGAACAGCGTCTGCTCTTATTCACTTGTCTCTAAGGCCCAACTGCCAAGTTTTCTGGGCGTCTTGGCTGCTGCCTCTCCAAAACAACTGAAATTGCATTATGTGCACCGATTTCCAAGTTTGCAACGATGAATATCTATGATTCCATTTTCTTTTCGGGGAGGAAGTGAGCCCGTGGGGACAGGTGACAGTGTGAGCCTAATACAGCTTGCGCGCTCAAATGCATGCTCACACAGTATGTACACACACAAACGCACACATACCGCACACGCCATCTGTGGAGTTTTACGATTCAATAATCCGCTTCCTAAGGCATACCTTTCCCTCTCCTGCGACACAAACACACATCAATAAGCACTTTCTCACACACACACTTGTACCACTCTCCCCTACTCAGCAGGGAAAATGAGATATTCAGCTCTGAAAAACACACACACACTCAAAAAAAAAAAAGAGGAGATGCCTCAAAGCAACTCCTACCCTTCTCTCTGCAAGAACTGTCCTCGCAGTGTTGGGAGCTGTATAAAAGTCACTCGGAGCGATGACACCCACACAAGTCACACACACATCGGTAACCTAAATACAGAGTCATTGTCATTCCATCCTTAGTTTCACAGCAGAATTCATAGAGTGCCGAAATGCTTCTGCGCATATTCGTTCGGCAGCAACACAGGTGCACACTCATGTATTTACACATCACATATTCATGTCTAAGAGAGCAGAATGAATATGATTGCTGTGTTTCATTTAGAAGTGCACTTTTGAAAGCTGTTGAAGAATCTCACGTCATACTTTGACACTCTGGTTTCTTTTCATTTCTGAAGGCCAACCTTTATGAGATCTGTGCATCCAGAGATACACACTATATAACAGGCACTCAGTAGTGTAGAGTAAATTCTGCAATAATAAAGTCACTTTCCATAAACACAGACGCATTAAAGCAAATACACAATGGCACCATGCGCATTTCACTTTCTTGCTCTCTAAATTTGTGTTTCTATGGCTTTCTTATTCTCACACACGTTCCCACACACTAACAATACATCCCACACATGCCCCCGAGCCCCCACTCACGTTGGCAGACGTCCTTGTTCTCCTCGAAACCCGGTTTGCACACACACCTCCCGATGGGAACCAGCCAGCCTCCGTCTGCACTGCAGTACATCTTTGGAGCCTCAAACTCCTCAGAGGCGTTCACACACACACCGTGGACCTCCACCAGTGCCGTGTCTCCGCCCGTTATCGTGTCAGGGAACTGGGCCAGGTTGAGCACAGTGAGGGGACACTTCTTGTAGAAGACCCTGACAGAGACCAGAGCGATACAGGCGCCCAGGTCCTGGAAGGCCAGGTAGAAACCCTTTTTACTCAGGTTGCTGATGTCCCGTACCTCCGTGTTCAGCTTCATCACACGGTCGCCAACATCCACCTGCGGATGAACGACATTTTATTTGTGTAATTCATTTTAATTGGAGCATTTAAATTCAGTTGAAGCATTTTTTTCCAGTCTAAAAAGTTAGAATTCTATTTTGGTGCACTGTTGCTGCTGTAAACTCAGCAACTGCATCTCCAAAGCTCAAATAATTATGCCCTCAAAATCCTGGCAGTTTGGCAGCGAATGGGATACGATAACTGAGTTCAAATATAACCCACATTCAAACCCAGAGTTATTTTCTAAGAGTCAGTGGCAAATAATGAATATATAATAATTTTGGAATGCAACTCTTCTGTTAGGGAGTCAGTTGGTCACATACAAACAGACAGAGCTTAATGTTAAGATCAATATAGAAAACACGGTATAAGACGTAGCCAGCATACAGCTGCATGGGAAAGACTTTGATCCATTTATCACATGTGTGAGTGTGTGACATGTTAGATACACCTATCAGCCACAAAAACCACTGACAGGTGAAGTTACTAAAATTGATAATCGCATTACATGGAATCCTCTGCTGAGAAACCTTGGGTCTTGGCATTCACGTGGATGCCCCTTGACACGCACCACCCACTCAAACACTATTGCACACCAAGTGCACTCCCTCATGGCAACATCACTCCCCACTGGCAGTGCCCCCCCCCCCCCCCCCCCCCCCCCCCCCCCCCCCCCCCCCCCCCCCCCCCCCCCCCCCACCCCCCCCCCCCCCGCCCCCCCCCCCCCCCCCCCCCCCAGCAGGACAATGTGCCATGCCACACTGCAACAACTGGTCAGGAATGACCCGAGGAGGGTGACAAATTGCTCAAGGTGTCGACCTGGCCTCAAATTTAACCTCATTCCAATCCAATCGAGTATCCTTGGAATGTGCTGGTACCCCAGAGGTCCCGTGTCCATGCCTTAACAGGTTAGAGCCACTACCGTCTATCAGACTTGGCTCTGACCTGTCGAGGCATGGACACAGGATCTCTAGGGTACCAGCACATCTCGTGGATGCTCGATTGGATTGGGATCTGGGGAATTTGGAGTCCAGGCTGATGTCTTGAGCACTTTGTCAGATTCCTCGGGCCATTCCTGGGGAGTTTTTGCAGTGTGACATGACACATTGTCCTGCTGGGGGGGGCACTGCCATCTTGGAGTGTTGTTGCCATGAGGGGGTGCACTTGATCTGCAACTGTGTTTGGGTGGGTGGTGTGTGTCAAGTGGCATCCACAAGAATGCCAGGATTCAAGGTTTCCCAGCAGAACATTGAATGTAACGAGATGACTAATGTTATGTACTTCACCTGTAAGTGGTTTATTGTTGTGGCTGATCAGTGAACACAGCAAGTGCCCCGGTGTGCTTATCTCATGTGTTATAAGTGTGTGTCCATACCTGTGTAAAACTCTCATCTGCAGCAATAGTATCGATCTTGACATACTGGCTTTCCTTGATGAACCACAAGTTGGCATTGTTGGACTCATAGTAGTACATGTTGAACGTCTGCAAGACAAACATCCATCACACTTCAAACTATAGAACTTGAATTTATCAGACAAAACAGAATAACACACAGTAAAACAAGACAGATGAAAGCGAGGGAGTCCATCCAATGTGAAATTTTAACAAGGCTCCCATAGCTCTCCAGCTATTCTGCTGCTTCTCTTCAAATCTCAGTCCATCTGTCTCGATGGCCAGTCAGCAACACTGTCTGCAGTTTCATGAGAAGTGCAGCTCTGTACTGTCTCATATTATCTCCACTACTCATTCTGGAGATGTAATGAGAGTGAAAAGGGTGCAGAGGGCAGACAAAGTAGAGAGAAATGAATACAGCTGAGCAGTGATATCAGGCTGATATGAGCGAACGGGGGACAGTAAAAAAAAATATATTAGAAGTTAAAATATACGAGGAGCCACAAAAGAAGCCTCTAGAGCGTCGTCTGTTTCGTTCTGCAGCTATTCTCTCATGTCATTCTTTTCCCGCCTTTTGTCTGTTTATCTGTTCATCGGCCATCAAAGGGAACTTCAATCTGTGTGTTAGTGTCGAGTGAGTGTTGAATGGAAAAGACTGAAAAATAAAATCATAAATGGTATTCAAAATGCTCTTTTCACTGCTCTGCAGTCCCATGTTCTGTGGTATAATGTGCAGAATGAGCATTGGTTTCATACCAAGTAATTATAGTAAATGCAAAAACCACATTACACCTGGCCTTATATTAATTTATATGTTAACATATGTGAAGCTGGTGATACTGAAATCATCCGAAATTAGTGGAAATTATTGTGTAAACTGGCTCCATTAACTTCATAAACAATAAATGTTTAACTAAAAGTACATTTCTAGTGCTTCACTTTACTCTTCACTTGCTTCTCAACCTTGAATGTAAGTCATACGCTTGAGAAGTAAAGGATTTTGTCCAGAAGGCTAAGAGCACTGCACAGTCAGAGAATATTTTGTTGACTTTGCAGGAGTTATTTTTCTGAGTCAAACCTCAGACTCCAAACAATGTCTGCCTGCACCATGTTCCAAATCAAACTTACTCTTGAGCTATTGATCTCCAAAACAGAAATGTCTCCTTTTTTTTCACCCGCTTCCCTCCAAAAGAAATTCAGTGCAAAGAACTACACACCAGCTCCTATTATGCTCATCAAAATTCAATGTCTTGGGTGTGTGTGTGAAGGAATGCAGACCTCCTTGCAGGTGCCAGGTACCCCTGGCAGGCTGTTACAGTCCCTCAGGGTGAACTTGATCTCAATGTGGACTCGCTGCGCTCCTTCTCGGCTGATGTGACGCGTCCTCAGCCAGTTGTTCTGGTTGGCCTCCATGACGTTGCACACCTGGTAGGTCCTCATTGGGGTGTTCCTCTCATCCATCACACTGATCTCCTCCCACTGGGGATAAGACAGAGGAGGTTTAGAGAGAGAAAGGAAAAAGCAAAGTGGATCTACCAGACGAAAGACATAGCTGTTTATTTTACATGGAATTTCTGATTGGATTTCCACATTCCACCGTTCTGCAACGTTCTTAAAACCTGCTGGTTCACACCAATGCAACTAGATGAGACAGTGTATCATATCTATGCAACAACTCTCTGTACTTCCATTCTGATTTGCAGCTTTTCAGGCTTATTTTGTGGCTGAATATACTTTGTAGCTTCTTAAAATGTGAATGAGGATAGTGAGATACTGGTTACAGTTGCATCTGTGGCAGTGATGAAATGGTGAAAAACTTAAAACGAGCATCAGATGGACTGTATTCGTAATAAATATGCCATAATAATACAAATAACAAGCGCCAATTAATCAGTCACTGGCTACGGTTACATGATGGCTTCTCATTCGGAATTAAATAAATCTGAATGAAATCATTCAGAATTAAAGTTTTTCCAGGTAGTTTACATGGGAAATATTCATTCTGAATGAGGGTTTACACGGGAGATCAGTTCAATCGCCTTTATTCAGGTCTGCACAAGGTTTGGAGCAGGGAAGGTTTCTGATTGGATAGGGGGCGGGGCGGATGTTACGTGTTTACATTTACCGGAAGAAAACACTGTAGTCCTCGCTCCGGATAACAAGATGCTTGACGACGCCGTTCTTAGTGCGTTTTTCGGGCTTGTTTTGCTTATATTCTTGAAGCAGCAGTACGACAACAACCTTGTTCTGCTAATGCTTCATCTGTTGAGGAGGAGAAGGGAGGTAGAAGGTCGAAGAAGGAGACAGAAGACCGGAATGGCCTTTCATTCCGATTAAAAGTGGAATTAAACTGTGCATGTAAACGTACTGAGTGATTAGCAACCTATCGTCTAACACCAGCACACCGTGAGGACAGAATCAGAGGGCTCCAAAGGGATGGAGTACCTGCCACAGCGAGCGAACACGCCATCTGTGGTGAATTTGACGTGACCAGCGGACCTCACTACAAGCCGACTGGCTGTTAGCAACAGACGACAAGCTTTATGTTCTAAAACCAGCTGCCGGCGATTTGACCAGCAACATTCTAAAAATGTTTCGTCTCGTTGTAAATCATTGGTCTGAACTGGGCTTTAGGTATCGGTTTGCTTTGGCCTTTAGTTAATTAATCCATTAGTCACTCAAAATTATTTGGCAACGCTTTTGATATTCAAATGATCCTTTGTCATTTTTAAGCAAAAAAGACAAACATTTGCCAGTTTCATGCTTCTTAAATGTGGGAATTTGATGCTTGTCTTTGTCATACATGATTACAAACTGAATAGCTTTTGGACTGTTGGTCAGATAAAACATACCAGATGAAGACATCACCTTGGACTCTGGGAATTTATTTGATGGGACAGATACAGTGTGAAGGGGGCAGAGAGACGGGGTGACATGCAGCAAAGGGCCATGGGTTGGAATCGGACCTGCGGTTGCTGTGGAAAGGACACAGCCTTTGTACATGGGGCACCTGCTCTACAAGGTGAGCTAGTGGGTGCCCCTTTCTGACATTTAATTGACAAAAAGATTAAACAAGAAAACAAAAAGCAGATTAATAGATAATAAAAATAATCATTAGTTGTAGCCCTACTACATAAGCTGTTGCCAGTAGACACATTTCTACTGTCACGTGCTATATACCATCACATAGTGTGAAGAAAATAGCAAAATACCAGGAGGAATGGGAGAAAAGATTAAAAAATGGAGAAGATGTGAAGGAAAGTGTGGAGGGGGAGAAATGGGTGAGCAGTCAAGGAAAAAGGAAAGTGCGAAAGAGAAGAGGTGAGTGTTTGAGGAGTGCTGACGGGGAAATCCCTACCACTAGAACATACATTTCAAAATCAAAGACCAAGTAGTAGAGCGACATTCAGCAGCACAGGGGCCGGCTCGACAACAGCACCACTCAGCTGTGAGATCGTCTTATTTCATCGGCAGTCAATGGACAAAGGAGATCTCAGTCCAAAGATTGCTTATTGGGGAAACTGGGCCCAAGTTCAATGAAGTGTGGTTTTGGTGCAAACCAACGCTAAGCCTACATGTTCTGTTTTCATGTCTGGGTGAATATGAGTGATGATCTGTGTCAAGATGACTGAAGGACTGTCTTTGTCCATGCTGCACGTGTGCATAGAATGAACATGTTTTTCTAAAGTGAATGCGTGATTTAGCACTTAAGAGGTAGGAGTGTGTGTATGAGAGAGACATGGAGAGAAAGAACGAGCGAGAAGGAGTAGGTAGGACAGAGCTACTTTGTCTCCCGTCATCTGCTACCATCTGTTTCCACTTCTGACTAAGGCAGTAATTGAGAACACTTCTCGCATGAGCAGGAAAACATTTCTATCTACACACACAGACAGACACACACACACACACACACACACACATATAAAGTCACACACACAAAGAGAAAGAACATTTCTATTCCTTGAAGAAAAATGAAAATAAACCAATGTGGTTTCAGTGTCTCAAGATATCTGATCCATTCAAGGGGAAGCTAACTGGATTTTCTTGGACACACACACAGAAAACCCGCACACCCATACACAAAGACACACTCACACACAGGCTGGATGGGTCCTAGTTTGTGGTGAGGGATGAGAGGACCACCGTCTTTGTTCTGAGCTCCTGTCATCATCTTAAGGCTGAAGCTGTAAGCTCTAAAGTGATGAGCACGTATCACCTTACAGTTGTCCAAACGTATAAACACAGACCCCGTTACATATGTACAGGCATGATACACACTCACATGTGCGCACACACCTGCCTGCACCAAGACCCAAGGGGCTAACTATTCGTCATCCCTAACATGTTCTTGAATTTAAATGAAAGTCGAGTGGTAGATGAACCAAGAGGTGAAGAGAAAGAAAGAAAGAAAGAAAAGTGAGAAGACAGGCCAATAAAAAAGCAAAGAAACTTTCAAACAAGTGCAGTCCAAGCTAAGGTTGGATTCTTGAGGTTAATCTGATGTGACGGCCCAACAACCCGGCAAAAGCTTGACGCATTTCACCTCTGAGTCCTGAGCGCTAAAACAGACCCACATAAAAAACGCACATTCTCACATAGACTCGCACTCTCTTTCCAGCTCTCTCCAGCACACTCAGATGCTTTTAATCCTCCACAGCCTCCGCTGAAAACGTCTACTGTGTATGAATTGGAGCTCGAAGAAAACCAGCTCTCTGTTGACCCTGACCCGAGCAGTCCTTCAACTGCAGAGACGGAAAGAATGAAAATGGAAGGAGAAAAGGCGACAGAAGATTATTTAAGCTGCTGAAGTCATCTGACACAAATGTCCCTGAAAGCCAGTTCAGAGTTTGGAGATTACATATATAAAGGATGTATCACTGGAGTCTTGTTCGACATTCTGTGCACAAAACAACTGAGAGCACTCGATTCAATTAGAAGAACAAAAAACGAGAAGGAGGGAGAAGGAGAGAGAGGAGAGGAATGAATGTTGGTAAATTACAGGCGCGCCTGGCAGCTAAATAGACCCATCTGTGCAGAGCTGAGACCAGTCGGACATCACAGGACGGTCGCACACACCCACGCGCGCACACACAAACACACAAAGCTGAGTCCCCAGGGAGTGGTGATTAAAGCATTTATGGGAATAGTCATTGAGGGATAAAGAGGGCTTTATGATGTCTTTGTTTATTTCTTTGTAGGCAGAGTTTGGAGTGGCTGGATTACTGCCACTTCCTGGTGAGCGACTTATTTCCCTAGTTGGCGGGTCTGTTCATTGTCACATTTGCTTGGTGCACAGCACAGGTGTGTTTATGAACATGGAAACAACCTGCTCGCCCCCGTATTTGCTAATGATACACCAGCCACTTGAGAGAAAAATCCACCGAAAACACAACAAGAAAAATGTTTGGATAGGCAGAAGAGTTGAAGCTCCCCTTTTTTTCTTACTCTCTAAACACACACATGTGAAGTGAAAACTGTTGCCTGCGTTGGTTCAGCCTGAACACTAATTAACATTCAGAATGAAACCCTCCTCCCTGAACCTTCAATCACCTCGGCCAATCAGCGCCGAGCCCGCTTGATTGCTTTGAAGTGAAGCAGAGACGTCGGATCAGGGTTTAAGTTCAACCATTCACCAGCTTAACATAATATCCCTCCTCCTGCAATCATCTGATGGGTACACCTATGAGGACGTAATTGGCCCCCAAACTCTGGAACAAGCTCTGGCTTAGTGAGGAGGGGGCACAGAGGAGGAGAGGGGAGGGAAAAACAGAGATGGAAGATGAAGAAAGAGGAAAGGGGGGAGCATTGGGGGGGGGGGGGGGGGGGGGGGGGGGGGGGGGGGGGGGGGGGGGGGGGTTGCGCTGAAGAGCCTCAGGGGGAGTAGAGATGCTGTGGGGCCCCTCCATTTTCAAACATCATTAAAACGTATCTGTTTTGTGTCCCTCACAAGGAACACCCCTGCCTGGTGACAGAAGTGGGTCGCTCCACGCCGTCTCAGGCACATCCGGCCCTGCACGGCTTGGATTAAGCGTGACCTGCGGGGGTCAAGTGTGGTTTGGACTAATTCAAGTAGACAGTGGTCTCAGATTGGTGGGAACTGCCCCTCGTTGAGACCAATCCTCAGGTTTAAAGTGCAAAGATCAACTAGATAATCCTCCTGTTATGAAACACAAGACCATCTCACAGCCCAGGCACCTCTGTTCCCTCAGTCTGTCACTCTCCTATCACTCTATGCCTTCTCTTCTCCTCTACGTTAGATCCATTTCTATTAATAAATCATCACCATATTAAATTTTGAGACACATGTATAATTATATTAAACAAATAATACTGTTGCCAACAGGATTGGCAGCCGCCACCAGTCTCCATACTGCTTTTTATGGTGTATGCCATCAGGTTAGATTTAACTCTAAATTTACTGGATAGTTTTACGGCACAAACGGAGATGCAGAGTTTTACATCATGATACATGAAGTGCTGTTGAAGAATGGTAAGAGGCATTTAGCTAGGCACATGGTTTTCCTCAGGATAGCACAGCGAGGTAAAGACATTGTTTGCTTTGATGACATGCTGGAGATTTACTGGTTTCCATAAACGGCAGTGAGAGCTTGTCATCCTCAGCTCTTCATCCAACAGCTCACTGCTTCTACTTATTTCTCCTTGCAGTATATAAAAAAGTTCAGCTGGCCGTATAGTGCAGAATAGGGCGGGCTATTAAATTTTCACTACACGCTTATCATGGCTAAAATCACGATATCTATAAATTTGAAAAAAAAAAATATTGCTATCAGTGAAATAATCTTTAAATGTGCTTATTGTGTGTTTTGTCTCTTCATTTGGCGATTAAATTACACTCAAAATACGAGTGTAGGGAGACGGAGAGAAAGTCTGTGACTGTAACTGTACAAAATCTTACAAAAAGAGCATTCACACTTTAATGGATAGTGAAAAGGCGACCAGATGGCGTCAGGGGAGAGAAAACAAAGCGAGAACAGAAAGGAATTGAAATTTTTTAAGAGGCGCTTGATTATTTACACAATAGTGTGTGTAATATTTACATGATCTTACTGTTTCATTTTTAAATATCACCATTATTGTCAGTACCATTTACCGTGACATCCCTTGTGCAGAACATGTCCACATCTTGTTGCTCAGACTTGTTTTTGCTCCACTAACTTAGACATATTCCTTTCACAATAAAAGCATGCAACTATCCTTTACATAAGGACACAGATTACAACCAATAAAATACCCCTCCCTTTCCAAGCGTGTAGGAGAATCTATGGTGGCCTTCAGTGTAAAAATGCTCTGGGCTATTGTATAAACATGACAATGATGGAATTGGACCTGCTCCCTGTGTGAAGGGCTCATTCCAAGAATGGCAAGAAGCATTTAGCTCGGCACATGGTTTTCCTCAAGATAGTGCAGCGAGGTAAAAGACTTTGTTTGCTTTGATGACGTGCTGGAGATTTGCTTGTTCCCACAAACCGCAGTAAGAGCTTGTCATCCACAGCTCAGTCCTCAGTGTAGGGACATGAAGAGAAAGTCTGTAACCATAGCTGTACAAAAAGAGCATCCAAACTTTAACGGATAGTAAAAAGGCAACCAGATGGCGTTGGGGGAGGAAGACACAGAAAATAAACAGACATGATTTAAGAGGAGCTTGATTATTTACAATATAGCATCATATGTGTAATACTAACATGACTTGTTTTCGCTCCACTAAGTTAATAGCATTCCCTTTCACAATAAAAGCATTCAACTGCCCTGTACGTGAGGACACAGGAGAAACTGTCACCACAGATTACAACCAACTGAATCCCCCTCCCTTTTCCAAGCGTGTAGGAGTATGGTGGCCTTCACTACAACATAAAAATGCAAAAGGGCATCCTGGGCTAATGTAGACACATGACAGTGCAACATGAAAGAGGACCTGCTCCATATCTAGAAAAGCTAACAAAGACACATTGAGTCTTAGTTTCAGGCGATTATAGCTATGAATATTATTTTCCATTTCTTCCAAGATCCCCCTAAATCCTACACACTGGACCTTTAAGAGCTTTTCAAACAGCAGATATAAATGCAGCATTGATATGACACTGCAGAGCCTCTCCCAAAACTTGAAAAACTGAAACTCATTTGTCAGAATCTCCTTCCCTTCAGTTCACCTTTTTCTGTTTGTTTATGCCGCATCAGATGCACTTGATTTGCTTTGGTTTGCCTCCAGCTCCTTAAGAGAAACACCGCTCTTAATTTATGGCAAAGTCATAGCTAAGTGAAGAAATCGGTGCGCCTATTTTAAGAAGTAGAGGCAGCTATATTTCATCCAATTTAGCTTTTTGCCTTTTTAACTGACAATGACTAGACTGAAATAAGTGAGGAGGATTATGTTTATACAGGAGGAAGATAACATCGCCTTCATGTCGTACCACAAGGCGAAATAAGAACAACCTTGAAAGCAAATGCTTTACCAGCTTTAACCAATTTAATAATTTCCTTTTTCAGATAAGCAGCTGATAGAGCTTGTGCCTGACCCCAAAGCAAAGAAACTCAGAGAAAACACTTGTTTTTACAATGTCTCAGTTGATGCAGTGATATCACAGATCTATTTGTCGTATTTCTTTGAAAACGATGCTGTGTGGATGCACATAGAGCTGGTTTCCTTTCTGTGCACATCCAGGGAGGAGATGCCAGATCCCCTCTATGTTGACAGCTCATGAAAGAAGATATACAGGGCTGAGTTTATTATATATATTCTGCTCTCCAGTCAACACATTTCTTTGAGGGTAAACTAACAACACATGTGCTTTTCCGGGGCCGTGATTAGACCGCCTCAAACTGAACCATATTTTCAATAAAAGTAACTTGTGTGCTCTTTGGTTTTCAAAATTAGATTGAACCTTTTGGCTTAGCTACAGATGGAACACATTCTGTTCTTCTATAAAGACGTTAGTGGAAAAAAAAAGAAAAGAAAAGCATACACAAACATCCATAATATGGCCACACAGTCATCAGAGCATTTTAATAAAGTGAACTCGAAACCCTTGATTGCTTGAGAAAACAACCTTGCTTAGCTCTCCTCACTTCAGCTGCCTCTCTGCTGCGCACAACCATGAAACCGCGTGTGGCATCCTGCGATTTAACACACTGATGCTGAATAGTGGAGAGGAAGTGTGACTCAAGGGGAAATAGAATTAATTCAGCACCATTCAACAGCTCCTGCGCCAGAGTGACATACAGAACCCACTCTTATTTCTTTATTCAATGCACTTCGTCGTTCTTCCCTGCTCTACACTCTCGCCCTTTTCCTCTCCTCTCACTTCCCCGTTGTCATTTTCTGATGCACGGTGGCTGCACTCCAGACTCCCTTGGTCCCTATACCTGCAAAAGGCTAGTTATGTAACGCTCAAAACACACACATACACACAAAAATGTACACAACATCTCAGCTTATGTAAGAATATCTACCCTGCCACCCTGTCCCTTCACTCCATCCCCAAAAAATCGCAACCCGTACTAAATGGAGGCTCCGATGCCACACGTTTTCAGCGCAGCGGAAATAATTTGTAAATTCCCTCTGCAGACTCCCGATTTAGCAAGGAGCGCTGAAGAACCCAGTGCTCTCTAAAGCACACACTCCAGTGCTGCTGCTGGTAGCTCGGAGTCCCTGCTCGTTCCCTGAAAATAAAACATGTCAACCCGCTAGCTGTGATCAGATTTATACTTTCCGTGCCAGCGCTGGCATAAAGAGGAGATGGTTTTTGTTTGTGTGTGTGTTGTGCTGCATTTACTCACCCCCTCATTAGGATAAGCTTCCCAGCCCAGGTCGGCCAAGGCTGACATGGAGTCCAGCAACGTAACTGCAAGAACACAGAGGAGAGAAAACAAACTTAACACACACTTATAAAAACTGTTTATCTCTAAATCCCCATTTCCTGAAAACAATCATGCTTTCCACAGACAGTGAAGAGATATTGCGGTCTTGAACGCATCGCACAACATCAAAACCTTCCATATAAAAAATCCAAGATGTTTTCTTGATATATACAAGGGTGTCTTTTGTTGTGTCGGAGTACAACAGCAGTGGAATCACAAGCAATGGTAAACCTATAATTTCAACTTTAAGATTACTGTGGTTGTGCTGCAGCTGTTACGGTTCAAGGGGACCCAAAGTCAGTCAGTGAAACAGCATCGAGACACACAGAGGCAAGAGTATATTTTACTGTCATATTTACATTTTAGACATTGTAGTGATACTCCACCCAAATGCCTCTCTTGTGAGTACTGACCACTCGCCCCATGGGCTTGAAAAACGGCCGTTAAACACTTGAAGCTTGTGTTTTTTAAGGCGAGAGGGGTCTGTGGTCGAGCTGTATTCAAAGTGCTTACAATGGATTGTTTGGAAAGTTTTCATGCCACATAAAATGAATTAAAATGTTTTTCAAACCATCTACTTTGGTGTTCGTCTGTGTTCTCAGTACAAACAGTCACATTTTGCCAGCATGTGGCTAAACACATTGCTTTTGTCTTAGCGCTCTCTACCCTGTGAAGCCCACACGCAGGCCTGTGTGTTGGTGTTCACCCTGTTCGAGTGGTATCGCTGGATTAAATGGGTGTTTAAGTGGTCGACTAGTATGCTGAGAATGTCATCATCAGCATATTAAATGGTTGTGTTTATTATTATGCTGCAACAGAGGAAGTAAGCTGATGTGACATTAGTACTGTCTGAAGAGCAAGAAAGAGGGTTGTTGGGGTGGTGAACGGGTCAAACACAGGACTTTCACCCAGGAGACTGGAGTTTGTGTCCAGTATGACACCAAACTGCAACCTTGAATTACTTATGTCACCTTACAAACATAAAGTATTTATTTTAAGCCAAACCATGATGTTTTTTCTGAACCTAACCACGTAGTCTTTGCGTCTAAACCTACAAAAATGAAAGTGGAACATCAGTGGCATTTAATGTGCTGATAATGGCAATCTGAACATAGTAGTCAGTAGGCTTGTCACGATACCAGAAAAAAGCCACTGTTTCTAGCCAAGACAATGGAGAACAGGCGCTCGTCCTCGGCACTGACTGACACGCCTATACTGCCCCCGTCAGTTCCAAGAGGAATCGACACGGCCCGCTGAGGGCAAAGTTGTATCCAGTACTTACGGTACCCAAAAAAAAACAAAAAAACAGGTACCGACATATTTTTTGCGTGTTGGCATCGACTTGGTACAGAAGTATTGGTTCTCATGACAACCCTAGTAGTCAGTGCAGCAGGACCACGAGAAAGAGTTGATGCTACGAATGTCCGGTGGGAGGGATTTCCTGAGGCGGGGGGAGAGCCATGGTGGTCATGGGGTCTAGAGCAAGAGGAATGCAAGAGGAAGACCTGAGAGTTCAGGTGGGGGTGTGGATGTGCAGGAGTTGGGAGAGGAACAGAGGAGCTTGGTTGTGGACGGCCTTAAAGGCGAGGAGTAAGATCTTAAAGTCACTTTGTGAAGGCAGTTGATTCACAGCAATGACGATGACGACGACCATATGCACCAACAAATTTGACAGTTGACAAAGACAAAAACTAGAAACATTTCCTTTATATAGTTAATTGATTTTAATTAGTTTTGTGTGTACACAATGTTGTTTCAGTGCATTTTTATTTTTCCTAAAGTCTAGTTTTTATTTTTATTGCCGCAAACTAAACACCTAGTTTTAGTTTTTAGTTTAGCTAACTATAACAACCTTGACCAAGATTCTTGTAACCCATATCTATTAAGCTAATAACCACTAATAATGCCCATTTAATAGAGTGATAAGACTCGAGGTGGGTGGTTAGTTTAGAAATTATACCCTTTAGGTGTTGTAATGGACAGAAACACTTAATCCAAGCTCAGTCATTGGCTGAGATTTGTGAAATTTCTGTCAATATTTCACTTTTAAAAAAAAAGCGTACTCACAATTTCAATCCACAGCCTTGCCGCAATTCCTGTTTCCCTTGAAAGGATCAATTCACCAAAATTACAAAAAGCAAACAAATTTTCTCACTTTCCCTGAGTATACAGATGTTTTAAAAGCAGTGGTTCCTAACTGGTGCAGCCACGGGGTCCACATTTCTCTCTAGTCATTAGTTCGAGGTCCACACAGTTTAATACATTCAGCATCATACTGGTGTGTAATCATGTTGTCGAGCTAGTTTGCTGTGAAGCAGCTGTCTGTTAGTTACTAACTCTAAAGCAGAAAACAGCACGGAAATTCACTGTACTTCAAAATAAAGTATGTTTTTGACAAGCTTGACATGTTAGCAAGTCACTTGCGGTCCATTCAGAATGGACCCGTGACCCATCAGTTGGGAAACACTGCTTTAAAGTACACATCTGAAATTTCACCCAGATACAATAGAGTTGAATTCAGTTGTTTTTGTTGCACTCAAAGAATGAAAACTTGTTACTCTGGAATATCCACAGACCTTTCTGTGAACCCTTCACGTCCAACTGTATCGAAAAAAACAGCGCCCATAAAACTGTTGACAACAAGGTCTGTGGATTATCCAGACGTTGTTTCTGGTGATGGATATCTCCAAACCTCAGCACATAAAACTGAAACTATCTCCATGACTGTGTGACACCATAGATAAATGAGAAAATGTGTTTTTGTCGTTTGGGTGAGCCGGCCCTTTCAGCAACTTTCAAGCCTGAAAAGAGTTCTAATAATATAACTTTCATGCTGAAAAGATTTTGTTGAAGTATCACTTTAATAGAAGAGAGTCATCAAGGACAAAGTGCAAACAGTAGCTTGAATGTAGATTGAATGTTGTTTCCTGTGTGAGATCTCTCTGTGTGTGACCAGAGGAAGTGGAGGCAGGATGCAGGAAGGTGAGGATGAGGAAGGTGGCAGGTTGACCGGTGGGAGGCATAATGAAAACCTGCCCAGATTCTGGAGCGAGGTTCTCCACCTGTGTGTGTGTGTGTGTGTGTGTGTGTGTGGTTGTTAAGGCTTGGCTCAGTCAGGCCCTAATCAAGCCTTCAACACCGCTGACCATCAATATTTAATCAGTATCCATCTGCAGAGACTGCTGCTTCTCTCTTTCTTCTCTCCCTCTCTCTTTCAGTCACACACATTGTGGCTCTTTCAGGTTATCCTCCCTCTATCGAAATCTTTGAACCTCTGCTTTCAATCCAAGGATCCCAGATCAGACGGGTGAGTCGCTGACCTGACGCAATTTAAACTGACTGCATCACTTTACAGCGGCACACTTTCATATTCTCTCCATTTTTTATAAGCAGTGACCTGGAAAAACTCCTCCAAAGTAAAGAGAAAACACAGTTTGCCCTCCTGAATGCAAATGAGACTAATCACTCAATTGAAGAGGATTGAAAGTGCCTGTTTACAAGCCCCTCTGTGTATCCATACTGCCTGTAGCTATAACAAAGGGACTGTAAAATTGGTCCAACCTCCTCTTTTCCTATCTTTCCCCCTCTTTCTCTTCCCCTCGCACCCATGCTGTTCATCAGCCCTCACTGAATCCCAGCCGTTCTCCTCAGCTCAGCACACCGTGACAGCAGGGAGGCATGTCATGCTGTATTAGTGAGTGTACATGTGCGTATGCGCGTGTAACGCCGCACACAGCAGCGTCTGCGTGAGAAAACAGCGACGGAGAAAATAGTGCACACACGGTATAATGAAGCAGAGCGGGAGGCTGCACAGCAGAGCCCAGGTGAGCGAGGGAGGGAGAGATAGATTGAATGAGAGGGATGAGACGGAAAACAGTGGAGGAGAGGTGCTGAGCGGCAAAAGGTCACAGGCAGCCTCCAGCCCATGTGTGTATTCACAGAGACTAAAGACCATTTAGACTGCTTTCCTCAGTTCATGGGCATTTGAGTGGCGTGCAGAAATTGGACATAATGGTATAATAATATGTGATTTCAGGACCCAACGGAGAGACACACACACACACACACACACACACACACTCAGAGATAAAAGCTACCCATCAACAAGGTTCGTGGAATTTAGCAAAATTATCTGTTTCACATACAGTCGTTGCTGCCAATGATATTCTCTGTGACTCATTTACTGCAATACCTTTTCATGTGTTTTACACAGGATACAGCCGAGTTAATTAAAGGGTAGGTTCACTTAAATTACAAAAACATGTTCTCATTTCCCTGAGTGGCATTTTTAGTGCTTTAAACAATTTTTAAAAAGTCATCTGATTACAGTATCAATGCATCTCTCCCTAGAAACAGTGGGCTGATGATACATAAACACTGGGACTACTTTTTAATCAAGAAACTGCTGCATGTTTATATCAGAGTGTCTACTAGTATAACATGTTAAATTTAAGACTTTTTAAGACCTTTTTAATTCCACTTCAAATGACATTTAAGACCAAACTTGCAATGGAAATACACACCAAACATGAAAATATGCTCTTTCCAAGTACGCACATTAATGTCAGTTCAAAGCTTACCACGTTTGAAACACCTTCAACATACAGCGCAGTTTGCTTCATAAACACTTCCGGGCACTGATTTTAATTTGTCCTTTCACTTGCATTTTCCCATTTTTCCGTAGCTTGCAAGTTCCTAGTTTAACGATGCAGACTCATTGTGTGATCTGTGATGTGAGAACTGTGTTTCCTATAGCACCAACACTAAAACTTATATCTGTGATTAGACTAAAAAACATTTAAGACCCATTCAATCTGAATTTAAGACAGTATAATACTTTTCACATAACATTTTAAGTCTTTTTAAGGAACTGCGGCCCCCCTGTATATTCTGTGGAATATCCTGCGGAGTAAAGATGTGAATTTTCACCTCTTTATTCACGCTACAACTGTTTTTATTGACTCCAAACTACCAATTTACAGAC